CAACTCGATTTTCCAAAGATCTTTCTTTTCATCATATCATCTCGGAATGCAAATTACTTCACTTACCCCCATAACCAGTTCTGTGGTCGAGAGCCAAACGCAGGTGTCCGAAGGAAAGTAGCAGCCGTTGGTCTTCCTAGAAATTAATCGCTAACTTGGTCTATACACGCAGAACGCAAGCGGGCATGACTAATTTGATCGAAGTCTATCAAGTACAGCGGGAAACCCACGTTATATTCATTAAACTGCCAATACGTCTGCACCATGTGGTAGTGGAGGGGGGAGACTGGCTGACGACGGCTATAAGGCCCTTGCTAGTTCATAGTGGCAGTGTTTATTCTAGGCGCTGAGTTATTGCAGAATGAAGAAGTGACGTTTTGTAGGACTAGAAAGGGCTTATTAGCAGTTGTCAGCCAGTCATACCCAACCCCAAGTGATGTACCGCCCGAGGCTCGAACCCGCGAGTAGAGTAGAGAGCACACTTCTCTGCCTTGATTATCATTTGTTGAGCTCATGGCTTGATGGTTAGAATGTTAGACTCTGATCGAAAAGGTCAGTTCGAGCCTCGGGCGACGCACCATCCGGGGGTTGGGTGCGACTGGCTGAAGACGGCTAATAAGCCAGAAATTGGCCACTCTAGTTTTCTTTGTCCTATCTGCCTAAGAAATACAAACTCAAGTAACTGTGTCTCCTAGACAGAACGCCCGTCGAGTTAGTACTTGCGGTGATTAAATGCCGTCCTTCGCTCTCTCAATACCTCTGCTCACTTCACTTCCAACTTCTCACTGGCTTCTTTTCTCTCCCTTCATTTCTTGCTTCTATAGGTGCCCCCGCTGGCTTCCCGCGTTTCCTGAATGTCTTCTCCGTGATCGTGGCGAAGAAGAACGAGAAGGTGGAACTGGAGTGTCAGACGCAGGGCGATCCCCCGCCGACCGTGCGCTGGTACAAGGACAGCATTCCCGTCGACCTGACCAGTCCGCGGTTTGTCAAAAACGGTAAGCCTACGCGCGGGGCTGGAGCTGCCGCTGGTTGTTGTTGCTATCTCCTCCCCCTACCCGTCCAGCCGGGCACCAATTCTATCAGGCTGCCCATTATACAGGCGTTTTGTCCGGCCAGTCCAGCCTCTTAATTAATTCAGTCGCTCTACGCACCTCGTTGGCCATAAACCACGCGCTTGCGTGTGGTGTGGTGTGTGTATTAAGGTGTCATACTAGCGAGAGCGAGAAAGGGTTTTATGCAATCGACGTAATAGGTATATGTTAGTTATTGAATGCAGAACCCTTCCCCACACCCCCTCGTTATAAGTGTTTTTTCTATAAAAAGCAGGGATTTCAAAGAACCCTGCTTGTGGACTCTTAAAGTCTAGGTTTTTTAGAGAGAGAGAGCGAGAGAGAATTGGCGTACTCATTGGGCTTTAATATGCCCTACGCGACACGCACGCAAACGCAGTCACCGTCCAGAGTAACAGATGTCGCCTGTTATTGCCGTGAAATGAGGTTAGGACGTAAAACTATGTGTGTAGTGTCCAGTGTGCATAAAAATAAGGGCATTAGGGGGATGGAGAACAAGAAAGACGATGATGGGTATGCAGAGAGAAGCGAAATATGGGGGTATTTCGGCTGTCCAAAGCAAAGTTTATACACACAGGGAGGAAGGGGAAATTACATCATCATAAGTTATTTTAGTGTTTTGGCGATGAGAAAATGACGTACTTTTTTAGGTTATGGATGAAAATTCCCATCTGAGGGAAATAAATGGCCTGTTTCTTGTCGTACTCACGACACCAATAAAGGCCATTTATTCAGCTACTGAAGATTGTTGATGATAATGAATATTATGGTGGTAGTATTGGTAGTAGTAAATTAACGGATTGTGTGTGTATGCAATGCCACGCTTCAGCAAACCATGACCATGTTGCCTGGAGGGCACTGACAGTTTTCTCGGGCCTGATTCCACGTCAGTGTGTGCGCTCTTGCGCACCCATTGGGTTTACAGGCCGTGTACATGGTTGCCCGGTTAATTGTATCTTCTTTCTCTCTGATCCGGTGGGAGTGAATACTGGCTCGAGGCGCCTAGCAAAGTTGCGGACGGCGGTGGTAGCTGTCACGCCCTCGTCTGTGTCGTGGCAAGTGCCTCTCGACTAGCCACTCCGTGCTTATCTTACGAAAAACT